CTTGGGTCGAAATGATTAAAAACTGTGCACATCCTGAGTACAGCTGGATCAAATCCCTGTTCACCTTTTGGTGGCAACAACTGATATTTAGTGAGGTGTAGCTGCACACCTCATAGCTAAGAAGATATATTTCAGATAAATACACTGCTACACTGATTCTTTGATGGATACTGAGAGCAAAGTCTTTTTTTGCATCATCTGAGATGAGTCACATACAGAAGGAAAATGCCACTCACATAAACTATGGTCACGAATAATCCCTAAGATAAATATGCTAATATTCTATAAGAGGGTTTTCTCCAGAGATTTTTTCTATTCTTATAATTCATTCAAACAAGCCAATTGTCTACCATTATATTTCACAAATTGGATTCTTGTAATTCTTCATAAAGAATTCTCTTTGACTTGCATCAGACTTTTCCCCAAGTATATTTTGTTTAGAGTGAGACATTAAGGCTAGTTCTTGATCTAGCCAGAATTTACTTTTTATTCTGAAAAATCAATTGTTTCCATTCTTTAAGTTTATCCTGGGTTCAGTAGGAAAACAAAGAGAAATGTTTAATCACAGACTAACATTCCATTCTGAAACTATATGAGGAATTACCATTTTGAGCTTCTGAATTTTTTATAAGGCTTGTAAATGATTTACTACAATTGACTCCTTCACTTTTAATCCATTAATGCCTACTGTAAAATCCGGTATGAAGTAAAGAATACTAATCCTGCATTATCTATTGATTCATAAAAAGATCCAGCATTATCAGTTTCTAAAACATACGGTATTAATTGTATCTAAAGGTATATTATTTATTGTAGGTTTCTAAAAGTTACAGTATGATAGCTTTTAAAAAAAACAAGAGTATTAATTATAGGTTTCTAAAAATCCATTATTATATACTTCTATCTATAATCCATTAATGTGCACAATCCTGAATATGACATGGTGGACATTAATGGGCTAATTCTTTTTTTTCTTTTTGTTTGACTTTCATCTTTCTTCAGATGATCCAATAATTTATTTGGCTTCAAATTCTGTTTTTTTCCACAATGACTTGGTCCTTGAGTTTCACATCTTTTTTTTCAAAACTTGCAAATTATCCTCAGCATTTGCTTGCAACTAGATACATAATTACCACGTAGTGATCAACACGTAGCTTTTGTTGCACTTTCTTGTGATTTAAATGTCCATATTAAATTCAACCATGACTTCCACCAAAATAAAGCAGAATTATCACTTTTCTTTAAACAGTTATTCCAAAATATGCATACACAAGCAGATCCTCTCTTAATATTTTCGAAACAAATCATTTGAGTAACATTTTCATTAATATAATAAGTGCTTAGCCATTATAAAACACTGATCTTGTCTGATCAGTGATTCTATGATTGTATCAAATTAAAAATAATCTTAATAGTTTTTTAATGCTATTTAGGTTGACTGCCATCAAACATTGTTTAAGCATGTCTCTCAAGCAATTAGAGATTGTCTTCAGTGGGAACTCAATTAATGTGACTCTCTACTATAACTACTCTAGCTGAATAATATATATATATATATATATAGCATGGTCTACAATTAAAGTAACTTTATGTATGAAAAATCAAAAGTGAATGACAGAATAATATCTTTATGGATCATACTGAAGCTTTCAGCCAATTTATCCTTTCTTCATATGTTAGACCAATAAAGCTCAACAGTCTTTTCTTCATTTAAGAAACAACAGCTTGTTCTACAACATGTCATAATAAAAAAAATCAGTGGTAATTGTATCTGATGGTCAACTAAATTTCCAGATAGGATTGCTGGCTTGCCTACATCTTTCCATCAATGGATATTCAAATCAAAGTGTCTTTGATGTAGTTTTTAAACTAATGATCTAACATCCAACTCTCTTATAGACCCTGGGTGTTCACAAATATGATAGAACTGTCAATTTCAGTGTTATATATATTCAATTTTTGTGTGCATGCTGCGATTATTCTTTTCTCATGAATATAAACTTGAACTTGTCCAATGATGAAAGCATTATCTGATTAGTCAATGTGAACTGATTCATGTAATTGTTGTGTAGGACAAAAAGTGTAAAATATAATATGATGACATATATATAAATGATAGATAGGATTAACTATCTTCTATATTCAGCATTCATTGACTGAATAGCCATTTCGGTGACAACTTTTCTTTTACATATCTTTCATACAAAATAATTGTATCTGTTTTATTCAATAACCTTTTTTCCAATGCAAAAATAGCCTTTGATTAATGTGGTTGTTGTGTGTGGATGAATTGATGAAAATTAATGGAGTGTTATCCCAAGACTTCTCCTTACATGAGTCATCATCAGAGAATATGCTTGAGAAAAGTTAATTTATATATTTACATGTTTTCATTTAAATGTTACATTTAATGGATACATGTGTTTTATTAAACATTCCTTTTTGCTAAGGTGTAAATTTACAACTACTCGCTTGTGTGTTTTCAGGGTTTTAATAAACAAATTAACTTTGGGTTCATTTACACATTTAAGAAAAAATCGGATGCCTACTCAAACACATTTATGCACACACACACACATCTTTGGTATTACTAGAACATAATTGTGTGTGTGTGTGTGTATATATATATATATATATATATATATATATATATATATATATATATATATATATATGAAACAATATTCAATGTTCGCTTATTTCTATTCTTGGTTTCCATCTAATTTACCAAGGGTTTTTGAATTATTGGCATCATATTTTTCTTCTGTGAGGTTAGTTCTTCTTCTATATGCCATGACCCTTCAGGACATGGGTGATCTTTGCTCTCCACAATTTCCTATCCCTTGTAGCTCTTAATAAAGTTTATTTTTTGGCTGTCCCTCCTAAACTCTGCTTTGCTTACCATTTGCATAAACTTGCTATGTTGGATATGCACTACTTAACTCTGTCCCTTTAGCCTTCAATATGCCCTGTCAGTGTCAAATTCTCTAAGCCCTCTTTCCTCATTATGTACCCTAGAAATTTCAACTATCTCTTTCTGATATTAAGTATAAGTGCTCATTTTGTTTCTATTTCAACTTTCCAACATTTACTGTCTATGGTATTCTCAACATCAGTCTGGAGAACCATATTTCTGTTGCCTCAAGTGAAGAGATTGTCCAGTGATCATTGTCATATTATGTTTTCTCTAAAATAACATTTTTATTATACACACACACACACACACACACACACACACACACATATATATATATATATATATATATATATATATATATATATATATATATATATATATAAGCATTATTTTTCCTAATCTGATCTTTTTCACTTTCAATTGCTTTTTACATTTCATACCAAATAAATAGCACAAACCGTATATACTTGTGCATAATGAGACCCTTAAACATATTTTTCATAAATTTTAACCCCTCCAAAAACAAATTACCTGTGTATATTGCAACTGGTCAACAAAAATGCATGATTTTTTGACCTCTTAAAGTATTTGCCTGTATATAATGCGAGTCCTTATATTTTGCAGAAAAAATTGATCATAAAACTCGCTCTATACACAAGTATATATGGTAACTAATAGTTCTCTTTCAGAATAGTGTAAATTGTTTAGCAGTGCCTTTAGAATTTTATTTAAGTTCTATGACTTATTTGATTGAATCAAAAAAGTCAAATCCTGACCTACTAAACTAGGTGAGGTGGTGTTAACTTGTGACTGTAGCTACAGTTGAATGAAAGATAATTTCCTTTTTAAATTCTTGGATCTCTTATGGCATAATTAACTAATTATCTTTTACACTACATAGCAATCCTTATAGCATTCACAAAACTCAAGTGACATAAATATTCACTCATAAATTTTTCATTATTCAATTGCAATTTTACTGTTTCCATTGATGTTTCATAGATTATCTTTTGACTTTCACCAAAGCAAAGCTAGTTTCGATTTTTCTGTCTCTGATATCTTTCTCTCGTCACAATATTTTCTTTACAGTTATTGAATTAGTGAAAGCTAAGAATCAGATGATAAATAATAAAAAAAAAAAATGAAGAAAAATTATTATTTCCAAACTACAAACAGAATCACAAAAAATTCTATCATCTCTTCTTCGTCTTTTAATATTGACTTACCTTGAAAGGAATTATGAATAATATTCTTTGGCTATAATAACTTAAGCACTTCAGCCATGTCTCCTTCTAGATTTATCATCGTATTCTACAATTTGTTTGTCCTCATAGAAAATGAGGAGTGGCAAGACTGGCCAGAATTTTAACCAGTTGCTTCTTTCTCATCTAATTACATGAAAAACTTGTAACTTAGGAGAACACGTGTCAAACAAATGTCTATCAGTCAATCAGACTTACACTTAAGTTATTGAAAGTATCTCATGATAAAAGTGAGAAACTGGAGATTAACATTTTATATAAATATTACATGACCTCTGTGTCATCATTCTTTTATAATTCTGGAAGATGAAATTTGATTGCAAACTTTTTGTTTGTTTTTTTTTTGTTTTTTTTTCTTTTCTTGAAGGAAGTGTTATTCTCACTTTTCTGTAAATCAAAAGTGTTTTCCTAAAGGATTCAGATATATTTTTCCACTAGTTGTACCTATATTTACATGATTAGATTTTTATTGCTAATCAGTTCTTTATTAAAGAATTCTTATTTATAAAATATAATGTTTGAATAAAAGGCATTATGGTTGAATCGTTGATATTGTTTATTTTTGTCATATAATATATTGTTGTTGGGATTTAAAAACCAACACATTTTCAGAATAATAATAATCTAATGTTCTTTAATATAATAACTTTGAGTAGATACTGTACATTGTATAGGGTGATATTTAATAATAACAAAAAGGAAACAAGTTCTTACTGTTGCGAAATGATTGGCAAGCTAATCTCTCAAATCAATTATTTAATGCAGTGAATTTGATCCTACATGAGCACCCATTACAATAACTTGGTATCATGAGGGAGGGAATGTATAACCTTCTGGTAAAGAGAAAAAACATTCTATCTCAATCAGTTTATCTTACATTGTTCATGTCTATCCATCCATCCTTCTGTCTCAATCTGTTCATGTCTGTCTGTACTTCCATTTGTCTCAATCTATTCATCTCCACCTGTTCTTCTTTTTCTCTCAGTATGTTCCTGTCCATCCTTACATCTCTCTCAGTTTGTTCATGTCCATCCATCATTCTTTTTGTCTCAGTTTGTTCATGTCTGTTTTGTCTCGGTCTGTTTATCTGTTCTTCTTTCTGTCTCGGATTGTTCATCTCTGTTCGTCTTTCCTTCTGTCTTGGTCTCTTTGTCTGTCTTTCCTTCTGTCTTGGTCTCTTTGTCTGTCTTTGCTTCTGTCTTGGTCTCTTTGTCTGTCTTTGCTTCTGTCTTGGTCTCTTTGTCTGTCTTTGCTTCTGTCTTGGTCTCTTTGTCTGTCTTTGCTTCTGTCTTGGTCTCTTTGTCTTGGTCTCTCTTTGTCTGTCTTTGCTTCTGTCTTGGTCTCTTTGTCTGTCTTTCCTTCTGTCTTGGTCTCTTTGTCTGTCTTTCCTTCTGTCTTGGTCTCTTTGTCTGTCTTTCCTTCTGTCTTGGTCTCTTTGTCTGTCTTTCCTTCTGTCTTGGTCTCTTTGTCTGTCTTTCCTTCTGTCTTGGTCTCTTCGTCTGTCTTTCCTTCTGTCTCACTCTGTTCATGTCTGTCCGTCTTTCTGCCATTTTTAAACTAATCAAATTTTCTGACAATATCTGTCTATATCTCTGAGGATACCAGTCCAAATAATGTAAGCAAATTTTCCTAGCTTAAAGTTAGTGCCATACCTTATTAGATGTTTTTACATAGTCTATTGAAATGTAGATATATGTCCTTTTGCCTTTCTGAGCTATTGACTTAGCATCTTTAATTTGTTAATATTACAAACTTTCTCCAATAAATTTCTTCCCTCTGGGTCTATTCATTTCCACATTAGACCTTAATTTATTATTACTGTTAAAGTTTTTGAATATCATTCTTTTCTTGGTTTTATTTAATTGTTTTTTTATCCTTTTTACCAGCAATAGATGAAAAATACTTTTCCTTGAATTTTAAAGAAAAAATCATACACAAAAACTGACTAGATTCAGAGCTCAGCAGGGGCCAACAAAAGAACATCAAATTGATTTTTCTTCTGTCCACAAAATTTTGTGAAAAGTGATTTTGACATCGCCGTGACACACGCTGCATTGAAAATATGATAGTCAATCTCATCTTTGTTGGTAAATAAAATTAGTGGAAAAATGCTGAAGAAGTGGAAATACGTGGCTCAAAAGCTGATCTATAAAAAAATAAGACTATAAAAAGAATGAAAGTTGGACAAACAAAGTAAGCCTTCTCCCCACCACACTTTCTTTTTTTTTCTTTTTTTTTTTTTTACTTTCTTTGGAAAAACAGTTAAGTACAATAGTTATAAGTCGAATAAAATAGGCTTTTTGTTGACTTTCCTTTGCTTGTCAGAGATGTTAAAATAAATGTTTTAGTATACTTCTGTGTTAACCATGCTAAGGATAAGTGATGATGTTTATTGTATCCTTGAGAGTAAGTCTTCAAAAACAATTTCAGTTTTTGGCCTGACAACAGGTTATGTAATATCAAATGAAAGTTACATGCCAATTTACTCTGGGAAAAGCTATAAAATCTCAATTTGAAATTTTAAAGAAATGAAGCTTCAATGGTCATGGTAATGGAAATATTAGGCATTTCCATACAGGAAATATTTGGTATCTATTGATCAAACAGTTTGTCATTACTGTCGATTAACATTTATAAAAAATTTTAAGACAACCTTCTCAAGTATGCTTTTATCGCTCTTTCAAGTACTAATGTGAGTTTTCTTCTAAACATTTTGTTTAAGATAGTGTGGAAAGTAAACATCTTTATTATTGGTATATGCTACCCATTTTTCTTCTTGCTGCTGTTTTAGTATTTGTGGTTTTATATTGCTACTCTATAGGTTTGGATGAAGGATTGTCCTTGTTACCATTTGCTAACATCAATAGATAGCTTCTAAATGTCAATGTAATTAAAATCTAGCATCTTCCTGCTTTCTTGCATTTTGTGTACAGTGTAGTAGAAGAGAATAAAAATGTCATTTGTTCAACAAATATGCCAATGGAAATTTGACACTATATAATCTTTCTACTCTCTCTTATAGAGGTGGTAAAATTTGGATTTCATAGTTTGATCTTATATGACATTATCCCGCTGACATGTGTTAGCAAATTAGTTTTGTGATTTCCTTTAGAGAACTGTATTGAAGCAGAGATACAAAGTCCGCCTCTTAGGGAAAACCAACTTATCAACACACCTGCCCAGTCTTCATGCCATCTCTTGACTCTGTCTCTTCAGATACAAAAAGGGATCAATGAAACAAGCTCTTGCGACTGTGATTCATGTGTCTTTTAAGGTTTATTCCAACTAAGTGTTCAGGAATCCTGTCCAATTAGGATTTTAACAAGATCAAGAAAATATTACACAAATATTACAAGAAAGTTGCTATTGGAAAAGGACTTTGTCTAAACTGGGAGGAAACAAACCAATTTCAATTAATAGTTCTTAGTAATAAGAAAAGATCATTATCAAAAATTGATTCATGATTTTGTAGCTAGTAGCTTTTAAGTGAGATTGTTCATCAAAGGCATTAAAAGAACATAAATAGAAAATAAGCAGACTAGATATGAAATAAGTTTACATATTCATCTGTAGGGAAAAAGGTAGTTAAAAAATTAGTCTTGTAGAAAAAAGGTTTTGTATTGTAAGGTGGTAAGCTATTTCATCTATTTATAAGGATTATTTTTCTTCAATATATCATGTCCCTTCAGGACGTGGGCAATTATGGTTCTCCATAATTTCCTGTCTTTTGTAGTTCCTAGTAGTATTTGACTTTCAGAACATTGATAATTATGACTCTCCACTACTTCTCAACTTATTTTAGTAAGATTTCACTTTTCACTAAGCCTCCCAGGGCCTGTTCTCTCATCAATCTCCTTAGGTATATTATGCACCATTTTCTTTTGCCCCTTGTATCTTCAGTATAATCAGCAAGTGTTAAATTCTCCAAGCCCTCTTTCCTTATTTATGTGTCCTAGAAATTTCAACTGTTTTTTTTTTCTGATTTGGAGTATAAACATTCTTTTTGTTTCCATTTTTCCAAAACCTTCCAGTCCAGGAGATAGGTTTTCAGGAGCATGGAACCTCCTCCTGTTAACTGTTGTAGTTTCCAGGTCCACCCTTACCCGGAGTGGTAGCACCTGTTAGGGTCCTAGCTATGGGCAAATAGTGAACTCCCCAAACAAAAGCAAAACATTATGAAAGTATAAAAAAATATTTTTATAGTAAGAATACCAGCAATACAATTTTATGTATAAAAAATGACCACTGATACATTTTATCTGTAGTTGAAGGCATACAATTCTGTTAAAAATATATTTATCTGAAGCCATAAACCTTTGTTCTAAATATTTATATTTCAACATTAAATAACCCACAGAGGTGTTGATAAGCTGCTAAACAAAATTGAACAACCAAATAACAACTATGAAATAACTCTCTCAAGACATTAATTCATATATCCTACAATTTCTTAAAGAAATCATACTGTATTCCAAAATATAACTTCAACAAAACTGCACTATATATTACCACTGCTAGTAATTATGTTCATACAAACATGTATATGCCTAAAAGCTAAGTATCATCTACCATTTATTCAACTGTGAAAGCAGAATAACCTATATCATATTGTTATTACTTCAAAGCTCCTAAGAAAATTACATTTCAGCATTAAATGACTCATAAGTAGTTGATATATATTAAACAAGTCAACCAACCTAAAACTTCCTCGTTACTCATATATTCAATTCATAGCATTCTCATTATGCTTCTTTAGAACATTTCTGTCTCTTTTCCATCTGTGTGTAGACTGAAGTTACCAGTGTAAAATTGAGGAAGTTAGTGATGATGCCAGGAATAAATGTGTTGTGTGCGTATGAAAGAAAGATGCAGAGTTTGACTGGATTGTAGTGATAACAACACAATTTGGTCTGTGATAAGATTTACACATAGATTGAAGTAATATGGATGATGTTCTTGCATGTTCACTACAACGCAAAACAAGTTGAGCAGCTTGACAAAAAATAGCTGAAAGCAATTGAACAAAACAACTGGCAAAGATGAAAGGGCCTATTTCTCAAGAGAGTAAATGTTAATTAGTGAACACATCTGAATGTTAGATAATTGTTTTGTGGATCCTTATATAATTGTACATAGAATAATAAATAGTGTGACAGACAAAACACTGATAGTTTTAGATTATCTTTTTTCTATGTTGAGTACTATTTAATCTGTATGACTGGAGGCACATTCAATAGCAAGGAAAACTTTTTGTGGATCAATTCATTGTAAACCTTTCCAAAGTTATGAAAAGTTTCTTAAAAGCATAGGATTTGACATTTATTCATTTCTCAGATGATTAAATTCTGCATGAATTTCAGTTCTTCAGTAAAAGAAATGAAACGACTTCAATTATCAATGTTTATCATAGTCATCTTTAAAATTTTGAGGACCAGTTTAGGCACTTCTGATCAAGTACAATGGTATACACGGTATCCATATTAGAGACTAAATCTGATGAGGCCCTTGATGACCATGACTTGAGTTTTCAGGTTAATATTTTGGTTTTATAGCATTTTAGGTTTTTGAAAACTGTGATATTTTCTCATCAAAAATGTAATTTTAGTCTGTGTGACTAAATTTTTATGTTTAACATTCTTTTTTATAGATACAAGTATTTAAGTAAATGCTCTGTTTATAATAAAGGACGAATATTTTCTTAAAAAGAACGTTAAACATTAAAATGTCTTTAATAAATAAATTGTCGGACTTTGTCCATTTCTTAATATATGACGTCATTTGTTTACATTTGATACGCCAGAGCAGTTATGAATGTACGAGATTCATGGAAGATTGAAGTTTATAAGCAGTAAAATTTGACCTTGCCTACCGAACACTCCATTGTGGCCGAGACGGTAAGGCACGTCAGCGTAAATGAAAGTTCCGTATAGGATGCAGGTTCGAATCCTGTCAAAGGACAAATATTTTCTATGAAAATTTCTCGGACATTCAGGCCGGTAAATGTTATTTAATACTGTTTATTATAAACAGAGCATTTACTTAAATACTTGTATCTATAAAAATGTCTTTAATAAATAAATTGTCGGACTTTGTCCATTTCTTATATATATATATATATATATATATATATATATATATATATAGATATGTCTAGTTTTAAAGCAATTTGAACAGGAAACGTGAAAGTTATTTGAAAAAATGCAGTATTGTATTTTTGTAAATCGTAGTTGTAAATAGCCAGCTTTCATAAATATATGTAAATATATCACTTTTATGAATAATGATGCCTGGTACCCTGTTCCATATCACTGACTGCACTATTATTTCATAGCATTATGTAAAGGGGCTTAAAAGGCAGCAATAATAATAATTGAAATTAGCAGTACCAATGAAAATTGCATGGTTTCCAATTTAATTTTTCTGATGTATTATAATATTTCATAAATCAATAAGCTCATTACAAATTCTCTTAATACCTGTGAATATATTGCATTGTTAAATATTTGAAATCAACAATTTTAAACAAATATTGCAGTAACAATTCTAATTATTAATTCAAGTCATTATTTAATGAAGTAAGGGAGTACAAATGAAATTTGCAAGTTTTTCCCATTTCATAGAAGCAGACGTTAAACACATTAGAGGATTATCACCACCTCTACTCTTTCTTTTCTTATTTTTCTAAATGAAGTCAAACCCCATGTCACCTGTCTTTTCTGTCTTTCCTCATGATCAAAATGGAATAGTTCATTATTCATAAGGAATTAGGAAGGCATTTCTTTCTTCTCTTTCTTTCTTCTCTTTCTTTCTTTTTCTTTCTTTTCTCTCTCTTTTCTTCTCTTTCTTTTTTCTTCTCTTTCTTTATTGTTCTTCTCTTTTTTCTCTTTATTTTTTCTTTTACTTTTTTCTCTCTCTTTTTCTTCTCTTTCTTTATTTTTCCTCTTTTTCTTTTCTTCTCTTCTACTCCTTTTTTCTTTTTACTCTTTTTTCTTTCTACTCTTTTTTTTCTTCTTTTTCTTCTTTTACTCTTTATTTTTCTTCTTTTTACTCATTTTTCTTCTTCTTCCCCCTGAAACCAAACAACATGTCTGATGAGCTTCCTTTGCAGTCAAAATGAAATAGTTCATTATTTATGAGGTATTGGCAGGGTGTAATGTACATGTTAAGACACAAACAGAACTATAATATGATAATAAATCAAATTTTGTTGTTAGAAAAAAAAAAGTATATCCTACATTTCACTTGCTTCTTCACTTTACCATTTTCCGACGAGGTTCTTAGATATTTGCTCATAGGAGATATTCTTCTCAGTGTACCCTTTTCTGGAGAGGGGGAGTTGTTGATTTGGGCCAGTATGCAAGACAATGTGCAGCTGCAATGAATAAAGGTGAATCATAATGACAAGAATGCTGCATTCTTGTAAAATAAGCTGATTTATCCAGAGGCATACCACAATTAAAATGTAATATGGAAAACATGTCGTCCTTGATAAATTGTTTTCCTTTCAAAAAGCAAACATTTCTGGTTAATTGGTGCTCATTAGATAGAGGAACTGACGGCTCGGACTGGGGAAAACACGCTAAAATACAAATAATGAGTATGTGAGCAAAAACATGCAAATAAAATTCTATTGATTCCGGTATTGCCAATGGATAAAATAAACAACAGCAACAACAAAGTATTTCTTTGTCCATAATACTCCCATTAAGGGAATCAGTGGGTAAAATCGCTTGTGTCTTTACAAATAAATAAAATAATATTCATTTTTCATCTCACTCAAGGGCAATATTTTCTCAAACACTGTTTCAGGTTTCCAAACAAGGAATGTGGATGATTTTGCAATTCTGTTTCCTTGCTATAGTCAGGTATTTCTAAAGACTGTAAAATAGTAGGCCCTAGTGCATTTTGAACTTTTATCCATGTATGCATGGGCCGCAACTATAAATTCTACCTTCACATTTTGTACAAAATTGATGTACAAATAGATATTGCTGGCTGTGAAGACTCTGTTTCTATTGAAATCAGAAATTTCTACAGCCTTACTTCAAAGGTACATAAAATCATAATTATATTACTGACATATTGTGAATGAATATTTAATACACACACAGAAATTGACAAAACATTACTTGTATAAAATTTAAATAAATTAGTTTAATGTTTATTTCAAAGAGATATTTCATGTCCTTCATTCAAATTGAATTTCTTTGTTTTCATCTGCTGATGAAGCATAACATGACATTTTCTAGAAGTGTTTGTTCTGTGTCAATTTTTCTCAATGTTTGCCTGTTCCTGTACACTTTTAATATTGGCAGCAAGATGACTGTAATGTATGCCTAATATAAGGCTATGTATTCATAGGCAGGCTGTCACCACACACAAAAGCACATATAGAAAGAACTTCTTATTTCATATTTTCAACTTCAAGACTAAACTTACTTCTCTCCAAGAGAACAAACTCTATACATTACTGGTTTTCATATCTAAATAATATTAAGATGGAGAATTCCTGCTTAAAAATTGATGCATTTCAAGTTATTATTTACTTCTTTGATTTTGATGGAAATAGAAACTATCAAAATATTTCCAACAAACATCACACTGAACAGTGACTTCTGTTGGTAACAGCATCAAGGTTATAGCGGTCGATATTACCATTATCACATTTCCTTTTCTGTCTGTCAAATGACTAGACAGTTATGAAGAGATTTCCAAAATTGCCGAATTGAATATTAACAAATCAAAATCTAATCGCATATGAATTCTAATTTATAATCAATACCATTAGAAAGATCACTGATCTGAGTAAACACAGGCAGAAAATAGCAAAACTCTGAAGTTTTGACATCAGTTCAGTATCTACATTCTAGATGGTACAGATATTTTAATAAAATGTTCAAAGCCATCAGCTATCTTGTGATGTGGGCTTATGGCTATATCACATTGAAACATTGGTTCTTATACAATCACTAAAGTTTAGTCAGTAAAAAGCCTGGTCAGTAACTAGAAAGATGACTATTTAGAAATACAAGGTGCTGTAAGCTTGGATGTGCAGGTGGTGTAACAACTTGGAATTTAGAAATTGAAGAGCTGACTTCAAATTACAGTCAGATATATTATATTCACTTATATGCAAATACCCACTCTTCTCCTTTCAACTATGAGTTAATTAGTAGGACTTGTATAAGCAACTCATTATTATCTCCAAAAATCCTTAGAATTTAAAAGTATTTTCTAGTTTAAAATTACCCACAAAAGGTTGAGAGCCATAAAAATCCAATCAATCAATTTTGTGATATGGTATCATTTGTATGAGTACACATTGAACAGTACTATATACATGCAAGAATTTAACCAATTCTGCTGCCATACCTGCAACAGGAATGGTATATACTTTTCAAGCTTACCAACTTTAGACATGCTATTCACTGCATCTGTCCTTGAATGTGCTTTGCTCATAAGTTAGTGCCTAACTCGTTCAATTAAAACCACCGGTAACTCTTGCTCTATGGCATCAACATGTGCAAGAATCATCTATTACAGACAGTATTCACCAGCTATGAAATGTGCCATTCTGTATTAATATAAGGTTTAAGAACTGTTGATGCACTCCTCACGGTGACATGCCAAAAGTCATGGAATAGGGAATTAGTATTATGTAGGACTCTCTCTAACCTAGTAAAGTGTAGCAACTCAACATGTTATCATTTCTACAAGTTGTAGAGAGTCTTCTGAGGCATGCTGTCTTGATATCTGCCCATAATCCCCTATATGTACAAGATTTTGCCTATGAATAGACTTCTCCACCATGACTCATATCAGGCAAATGTTGAGCCAAATCCATTTATTGGCAAATATGCAGAATACTTCTTAAACCAAATTTGGGTAAATTAGGCCCAATGACACAGTGGATTATCCTGCTGAAATAAGCCATTGTTCTTGTGGTGCAAGTGATCATGAAACAATGTAATAATTAATGATGTGTTTTAGTGAATCAACGGTCCTGAAACCATGCTGCAGTAACATGACCCACATCATTATCAAATCTCCATCATCCTTCTCAGTGCCTTGTTGTCATATTTTGCACCACTGTGGAACCTTACCATCATCCCAAAGCAAATGGCACAATAACTCTAACCATACCACACATAACCAGTCATCCAGAGGGACTGTGAGGCAATGTGTCCAATGTTATGGTGTGGGTCTTCTGTTCCAATATACCATGACAATTAAAAAAAAAAAAACAAAGTATCTCATGGATAGGAAGCGTCCTCAAAAATGGCAAAAGGTAGTGGAATAGAAGGGCACATATTTTAAATAAATCTCTATACAAATCTGTAAGTATTGTCTTTGAAATTCACTTAAATGTAATAGACCTTTGTTCTGACCTAATACTTAAAAGCATCATTGATCATTTATGATAACTAAATCTTCAATAACTAGTATCTTAGTTACATTAGTCATTCTATACCTGATAGTTGTTGAGACAACTGAACCTTTTCTCCATACATTTGCTAAATGTTAAAACAGCATTTCTGCTAATATAGTCTTCATCACAGGTTTATTTTGGACACAAATATAAATTACTTCCTATTTTTACTTTTGCTTTTATCCTGAAGAAAGGTTTACTTTTTCTCATGAAGTACACCAAATTAAGGGTGGTGAATGGATCATCTGAAATGCTTTAATGAAATCAAATATATAAAGGAAGGCTTCCAGTATCCTAAAGACTTTGTGATAGCTGATACATGCACACAAACTTAGACCTAACCAAACAAATACAAAAGGAATGAGGGTAGTTAGCTACAATGTACACAAACTTAGACACTGAAATGACTTGCTGGTATATAGTGCATTGAATGTGGATATGATCTAAACCAGTTGCTTGTCTGTTATTACAGAATATTCTGGCCAGACACATTTGGTCATGATCATTAATAACATGATACTGACTACTGTGCTGTCCATAGCGGGTGATAACATTTTCAATCAGCAATTGGCATACTTGTGACCACAACAAATGTGCTGACAATTTTAGAAATGGAATGTTCCATTTTCCTGGCATCCACCATCACACCTTGTTTGAACCTCAATAATTCACCACCTTGATATGAACAACCTCACTGGTGTTCACATTAACTCACTCAGTCTCAGAGCACAACTGATATCGGTCTTGGCATTATTTTGTCATCAATTTCCTATTGTGCCATTTATAATAACTTTTGGCACCTCAGTGTATTTTGGAAACTATACTTGATTTATTTCTGTAATCATTAACTCTAATTGTATAACATATATGCAAAATCATGAGTCAACTGAAATCATATTCAAGATGTTTCCATTTTCTTTTATTTCAGTGTAAGTATATATATATATATATATATATATGGCAGTTATTTGAAAAAGTTCACCTTCTGCAGGTGATAAATGGAAATCAGTCTAAAATATGCTCTATACCCCAAATTCTAAGATTTCATTTTTGTTATATATATATATCGCAAGCGATAATATACCCACCTTCAATCTGACATGAAATGAAAAGGCATACCATGCTTGTGGTATTAACCACCAATCAAGAAGAGGGCTTACCAGAATCTTGAAACTGAGCAGTTGAACAGATGTAACAAGTGGTTGCCCTGCACATGCTCCACAAAAGTACAGATGGTGATGCATATGAAATACAAGTTGTCTGTGATAATAGTGGGTATTTCCAGCAATGAAAACCATTCCATATCACTCCAGTGCTTCTTAAATATCTTCAGGTTTAATGACATCACCTTCATAGTGGTGCTGGATGTGTAGTCATGCTTTAAATTAAAGAAAGGTCATCTAGCAAGACTCTCCTTGTTACAACATAAGCTGCATAATTCAAGAGTAACTTACTCTGAATTTTCATTATTTTATCTCTTAGCCCATATAATGTGAATTCCTTAGACAACTTTGCTTGGGGGCCACAAAATAGTCATTGAAGGTTGCCATCATTTATTGGATAGCAAACATTAATGAGAGTGACATGACCAACATATGTCATAACTCTCAAGGCTGAGAATAATGTTATCATAGAACCACTTTGTTTTTTGAAGTTTAAAAAT